AAGGAAAGAAAGAAAGAAAAGACACACACATACATCCATATATTTATAGTAATCAGATAAAAGTTCACACAAGCACAGATATAAAATGAAATTTGGCTCCATCAGAGCAATCCCAGACACCATCTCTGTAAAAACACTTGGCCAAATTAATGACTTGAATTAATTTGCTGCTAATTGTTGTTTACCAAGTATTTTTTGAGCTGATTGTCAAATGCAATTAACTGACATAAAAATTCTGATATGGACTTCCTATTAACTATATTATTTGGAAATGTGCTTGGTATTTATATAGATGTTAAAAAAAAAAAGTTTCTTAGATCCTCTTCAGGGTAGGATAATTATATATGCACTAAATGTAATGAGATTAAACTTCAGTAGCAGTAAAAAATAAAGTAATAAGCCTTACAGAAACTAAGCTCAGGCAGTCAACATATATTTCTGTTACAGCTGATGCTACACTGCCTTTTTTTTTTCCTTTTTGTGCCCCCAGCTTGCTTTTTTTTTTCTTCATATTTTAACGGTTTTTATAGGAAAATCATTTTATGTGCTTATTTTGTATGAAGACTGAATATCTAAGAAAGATAAATTAATGTATCAAAAGATTTCACTGCATTTCATATGTAAAATGAAATGTGCTCAGAGCCTGGAATCGCTCCCTCCCACTCACCTTTTACGTACAAATCACCACATTTCCTCAAACTGCTGCAGAGTTTTTAATTTGCAGCTCAAATCTGCAGCTGATGTAGAAATAAAGTCTGGAGCTCAGGAAATGCACATCAAAATTCTGATTTCAGTGGGGCTGGGGTCTGAAGTCTGTCACTGAAAATTTAGAATTTAGGCTGAGGTTTCTAAAGGGCTGGAGATGCCTCTGAAATGGAGCACTTGGTGTCCTGGAAGGGAATCAGGGGCAGGAATGATCTGAGAGCAGAAAAAAAAATAAAGGATTTCTTCAAGGTGTGGGGTGGTGAAAGTCAGGGTGGGCCATTCACAGCCCTCAACAGGGAATTGAAATGCTGGTATTGCAGAGCATGGCTTGGCAGAGCCACGGAATCCCAGAATCCCAGACTGCTTTGGGTGGGAAAGGACCTTAAAGATCATCTCATTCCACCCCCTGCCATGGGCAGGGACACCTCCCACTAGCCCAGGTTGCTCCAAGCCCCATCCAACCTGACTCACTTCCCTGTGGTCACTCTGCTTGATCTCCACTGGGAATTGTCCTGCCCAACACACCTCATTTTCCAGACACATTATCCCCAGGATAATGTGGGCCAGGCCAGGAGGGAAGGGAGCCTTTCTCCTCCCTCTGTGCTAATGAGGTGACACCAGCCTGGCAGAGCAGATTACACACAACCCCACCTGTAATCAGCAGTTATTCCTTCCTGCAACAGAAGAGTTCAGAGGAATCACAGCACTGCCATGGGCAGACTGTCACATGGAGAAGTTGTGCCCCAGGAGTGGCACTTCCCATGCAAGGTCAGACCAGAGACCCTTCAGGGATTAACCCTGGGAACCTGCAGTTGAAGCAGAACAGCTCCAACAGCTGAGGGCAAATCTGCTTTTTGTATTTTTTCCTGGTTCCTTGTGAGCAGAGGTTGTTCTTATCCCCTGTAAATAGTTCCTCTGTGGCATCTACAGGCAGCAGAACAGAAACATCAGGGCATCAGCCTGTGGAAATTGGAAACGGCCTACCCAGAGAGGTGGTGGATTCACCATCCCTGGAGGTTTTTAAGCAGAGATTGGATGTGGCCCTTAGTGCCATGATATAGTAATTGGAGTTGGATCAGGGGTTGGACTTGATCTTGGAGGTCTTTTCCAACCCAATCTATTCTATGATTCTATGATTCTATGAAATAGGTGTTGACCATCCTCTGCCTTTCTCAACTCAACAAAGACAACATTCCTGGTACAGTGGGTTTTTCCCAGAATGTTGTTTGGTGGAACAGCTGTCCCACTGCACATCTGGATCACACTGGGACATTGAGATCCTGGTATGATTCCCCAAAACAGTGGAATGGCTACCCCATTGCACAACTGCATCATTCCCTCACACAAAGTTCCTGCTGTGATTCCCAAAACCTTTGGGGAAACAAATGGGTTGGTGAAAGAAAGAAAGAGAAGAAAGAGTATTGTTTGTTTGGTGCAGGTCACCCCCAGCCTTGCTTGCTCTGTGCTGTCAGAGAAGGATGTTTATTGAATCAAAAGTGAACTGATCCCTGGCCACGTGCAAGAAAGGCAAGAAATGTCTTGACCCTCACACCAACTTCTTTCCCACTTGGTCTGTTCAGAGGGTGTCACTACAGCCTGAGGGACAGAGCTCACGAATAGAAAGTCTCATGTGCCCCTAAAAACTGGCACAGTACCCCAGAAAATGTACTTGCTGGGCTGGCTCAGAATTGCAGCAGTAACTCTGAACACTGCAAACTCTTTGGAAGCCTTATTTAACAGGTCCAAATATCTCTTCAGACTCCCCAAGCAATGGCTTCTCAGCAACAGCACATGTGAGTGTGAGGAACAAAAGAGCCCCTGGCCATATGGATAACTCAGGAATAAACTGGAACTCTGAATCACACAGTCATTTGTAGTCAGCTCATCCAAGTCACTTTGTTCAACCAAATTATTAAGACTCAGGAAATGCAAGAAATCCAAGATCATGAGTTTATCTGCCTTGATTTTTTTGTCTCTTAAGCACATAAAAAAGCAAAGCAGCTGCCAGGGCCAGAGGGAAGTTGAGTTGTTTGAGCACATGTTGTTCCCTTGAGTTATTGAATGAAGATGGAGCTGTACTGAAACTCCTGAGCAGGAAAATAGGACTCACCTGGCTCTGCTGGGGCAGCTCACAACCAGCAGCTGACAGATTTTTAAGAACAAGTAGTAAAACAAAAGAGAACAAACCACAATTTCAACCCTGGTCCTCTGTCTTTTCCTCTTTTTTTTTTTTTTTTTTTTCCTCAGGAAGGTAAAAAGGTAAACAGAGTGAGTAGTCTGAGGAACATTTGAGGCTGTTGATTCAGGTTTGAAAAAAATTCCTGTGGCACAACCAGATTTAAAGCTGACACTGCTTCTCCTGTGGTTTTTGGAAGACAGAAAAAGAAATCCCAGTCCTGTTGTCTTACAAGTGAAAGCAACTTGCAGGCTGAGGAGATCCTGACCCACCCTCCAGGAAGGAGAAACACCAAAGACTTTAGGTGACCTTTCCAAGGGCTCTCCCACCTTTTTTAGCAGCATGGAAATCTCCATACACAGACACAACTCGCAGGAAATCAACCCCAGAATAGTTAACAGGATGAAGTTTCAGAATTAAAAACAAACACCAGGACAAAACTAAGTAACAAATACAGACTCAGAGCTGCAAGAAGTGCATATTGAGATGAGATCTACCGATCTCTTCCTGGTTCCCCAGCAGAAGGAAGATTCCAGCTGCGAGCTGGAGGAATAGATCACATTCCAGGGGTAAAGGGGCAGGGAAGAACATGGACAAGACCAGGACAAGGAAGCAGCAGAAGAGGGAAGAAAGCAGAGAGGACCTGAGGGGTCATTCAGAGGGGGGTCTGATTGCCCAGAGATGGTTTGGGTGGCGGTGACTGGTCTTGGTTTGGATGGAGCCAGGGAGCTGTGGGTGATTGATTTGGTGATGGGGGGGGGGGGCACTGCCCACACTCAGCTGCTGATGTGGGACCAAGGAAACCTAAAGGAGGAGGGAAAGAGGGCAGGGGAGGCACAAGGGCTGGGGGGACAGGGCTGAGCAGAGAGGGATAAGGTTTCTGGCCATGGAAAAAGAGAAGAAATCTCTCAAGGCTGGGATGAGCTGAAGGAAACAAAGTGGAAAACAAAGGACTGTCTTTGAAGAGTGTCTGAACTCCTGAAACTGGCTCCAGGATGACATGGGGCATCCCTTATTAGGTCAAGAGGGCTGGGTAGAGAGGTGCCAAAAGTGCTGCTAAAACATGTTTGATGAGACATGAAACTTGTGTTATCAGAGCTCAGCAAGAGCACTGGCAGGAGCTTCACAGGTGTGGAGCTGCTTGGGCAAAAAGACCAAACTTGGGAAGCTCTGGGAAAAGTCTGGAGGGACTGCTCACCCCTTTAGAGGGATGAGCAGACAGGTTGGTGATGAGAGGCTGCCCCAGACATCTCCTGAGGTGGCACCTCTGAGGTTGTGGGGACAGGCAGTGCTGGTCAGTCTGTGGTGGGTGTAGGGACGAGAAAGGTGCTCTGGCTTCTCTGAGTCCCTGTGTCAGAGAAAAGTCATGTTTGCACAATAAATTAGGGAGGGTTGGAAGGGTGTGAGAACAACTACTGGAAGTGGTTTAGGAAGAGGAGGCTCTGTCCATGGCACTGGGCAGGGGCCGCCCTGAATCCCTCATGGTCTCTGCCTGTCCTGAGCAGTAGAAACTCGAGTGATGTTGTGCAGTGAGTCAGGGCCTTCAGCAGGTTATTCCAACCAGCCCCATGCACGCAGGGGTTGGGCAGCCTGGGTTTAGCCATGAACCCCAACTCTGGCCACATATTATTGTGCCAAAACCACATCAGCTTAGGAAGCCTTGTCCAGTGTTCCCTGCCCTTCAAACTGCCCTTGCACAGATGCCCAAGCAGCACTGGAAGTCATGGCTTGGCTGACAAAAGGGACTTTTCTTTGATTATCATTTTTCCTGGACTGTCTGGTTAAATCTGACACCGTTTTGCTGATGTGGAAGAGAGAAAGGAGCAATCAGACCCGGGGGAACACGAGGTTGGTCGGCACAATTCTAAAAGCTTGGGCCATATTTCATTGTGCACAGTATTGAAAAATATGGTCCTGTATTTAATGTTAATGGAAAGCATCAGTCATGCAGCATTGCCATAGGAATATTTCTATTAACATTAAACATACTTTGACACCAGTAAATGTTACTGGCTGACAGAGGAAATTTACACCGTGTGTAATTTTGCTCTTTGTTATCTCTTACCATGTGTAGGTGTCTGGGTGGCACTGTCTAGTATCAGGTGATTATAATTTTGTTCTTGGTCATCTGAAATTCATAGAAAAAAAAATCCCTTTAAGAACAAGCTTGGCAAACCCCGTGATCTGCAGATGATAATTACAGCTCACAACACTCACAGGAAATCTCAGCGTCATTCAAGAAAGGAGAGGAAAAAGCTTAAGAAAGCAGAAGACTGTTCTGTAGTTCACTTAAAATTCCAGATGGAAGAAGAATATTATAATAGGAATCTGCTGCCCTTCTGCTGAGCCTGCAAATTAAGGTTATCTGCAAAGATGAGAAACATGTCCAGGCAGGAGCAAACCGTGGCTGCTGGACCCACATGGGCTCCTGGGAGCTGCTGGAACCTCAGAGCCCCTGCTCCACCTCCACCCACCAGGGAGACCTGGAATACTTGGAAAATTGAAAGTTTGGAGGTTTTCAGGACGTTATTCCCAACCACCCAAACCCCACTGTCCCACTGTGAGCACACCCACACAACAAAGTCTTGTTTGAGGGCAGGGAGAAATCAAACAAGTGGCCTCTCTCATCAGTGGAGCTAAAGGTCTGCACATGGATGTGGATCTCCCTCCCCAGGAAGGGAGAATCCTGTAAAACTGATGTATTCAGTCTTAAGTGCTGCAAAGTAGGGGGAAAAAAAATCCACGGCAGAGTGGCTGCCAGAACTGGGCTTGGTATCTGTCCTGTGGGGTGGAAAACAACTCTGCCTGTAATAAAACCACTAGTTGAGTCCTGATAAACTTGCATGACCTTTAGTTTCCACACAGGCCTTCAGTAAGGAATGAATGTTTTATCTTCACACCAGGGGTGGGACTGCAGCAATGGAGGGTGAGAGGAGATTTCCAGAACTCTTTCCTGCCGTGCTCTCCCTGCACAGGGTGGAGGCTCTGATGTCTCCTCTGCTGTTCTGAAAACCCTGCCATTGATACTTCACTTTCCCCCTGAAAGAGCTGTTTCACTGGGGCTTTCTCACTGCAGTTCTGACCCATTCCTTCTTTTCCAGGAGAAAATGCCCCTTGTTTCTGCCACAGCTCTTTGTGACGACACTGTTCCTGTGTGTTCCCTGAACTTTACTCTTCAAGTTAATGCCATTTCTTTTATGTTTCTCTATGAAACTTGCTTTGCCCTTGATTATTGTCATTTTAGCACCCCGTGCTCTGAGTGACTTGGATCTTCTCAGGCCTGGGTCATGTTTGTGAGAGAGACCTGACCAGCACAGAGTGGATTCCCTGGATTCTTCCAAGTCAACTTCTCTTGTTCACACAAATTTGTGATATTTTACCTTTCCTGGTTCATGTGAAGTTGGTGATCCTTTGTTATTCCTTATTAGTTTTCTGAGAAACTGTTCAATTTTTCTCCAATACATAGAAGGCTTTTTAACATTCTTGTTTTAGTCCAATACATCTCATTTTTCTCCATTTAATCAATTTATTTTCAGGCTATTTCTCCAATTTGTCAAGAACATTTTAAATTCTAATCCCATTCTCTAATAGACTTATGGTCATCCAAGCTTCATATTACCTGCAAATTTAATGAGCAAACTCCTTTTCCACCAGTAACAAGGAGACTAAATTCAGAGTCACACCGGTTCATCTTTGGTTCCCCTTTCTGGTCACACATCTACCCCAGAGAGGTTCATTAACAACATGCTTCTCAAATTAAACTCACACTATTTTCTTAGAAACTGCTGGAAATCTTGCTGAGGTCATGAGCCTTAATAGAAGTTATTCCTCCCTGGCCACAAAACCCAGCAAAACAAAAATAAAATAAAATTTAAAAAAAAAAAAAAATTAACTTGATTTGTTTCTGAGAAATCTTGCTTTACCTCTCTGAAACTCCCCTCCCTGAACAGTACATGGAGCATCTGTTTACAGGCAGGATTAAATCAGAGTCAGGTGACAACACACTGGACACCTCTGCTTGGGGACTCCTTAAACACACAGACGGCTGGAAACACCCAAAGAATTTGACCCCAAAGGATTGAGTAAACTTTGGGAGGAGCCCAGGTTCTCATGGACACCTCGAGTGCCCTTGAGTAAGTGGCCCACAGGTCCTCAGTCAGAATTTGCCTCTGGATCCTCCACTCGTGGTTGTTTTTAGCAAAGCAAGGTCCTGCAGGAACAAGTTTTGTGACTTTGCTTCAGTTTCTCTTCCTCCATCTGGTCAAATTTCACTTAATTGTGAAAACTGGCCACAAGATGGGTGGGACAAATAAGAAAGTGAGGATTTCTGGAATCTCTGGAACTCTCCAGAGGGATTTTCCCAGAATCAAAAACACATAATATGCCAAGTGTGAAGGGACCCATGAGGACCACTGAGCCCCACTCCTGGCCCTGCACAGGACGATTTTGGGTTAATTTTTCTCTAGTTTCCAGCAATCATGATACAGATTCATGCTCACTAATCCCTGCATTAGGTTTTAACTGTCCCTGAGTTCAAACAGACCTTTGCAGTAATACAGTTTTAAAAGACTGTGTGTGATGGTCAGTCTGGCACATCTTTAGAAATAACTGCAGTAATCTCAATCTTTGTCACCAAAAACCACAATATACTTTAGGTTTTAACTGACTCATCTGGCTTCAACTTCTATTAGATTTTTATATTCCTTGGTGGGACTAAAAGCCCAATTTATTGCTACAAAATGCTTTCCCATAGAGGTATTTCTAGGTCATGAACCTTGTCAATCATAACTTCACCATTCTCTTGGATAATCTCAATATTCTGTGCCTCTGGAAAGCTGTGGGGATGAGGTCTGGGCTGGGATTCATTTCAGCAGTTTTGATCCACGGCATTGTCAAGCAGAAATGTGTTTTAAATATTACTGGCAGAGTGGTGTTTAGTGTTTTGGCTGCTGGAGCTGCCAGACCCATCTCTGGGGAGCCTCATCTGTGCAGAATTTGTAGGATTTTGTTTGCAAAGACAGCTGGTTTATACAGTGCAGGTCAGGGGTGTCAGTGCCCTGAGTACAACTGTCTCTCTTACTGCTTATGTGCTGTCAAGTTCATAAAATCACAGAATAACAGAGGTGGAGGCACCTCTGG